GCTGGAGTGCAGTGGCATCATCCTGGCTCACTACAACCTCCACCTCCCAAGTTCAAGCGATTCTCCTGCCTCAGCCTCCCAAGTAGCTGGGATTACACAAGCCATCACCACACCCGGCTAATTTTTGTATTTTTAGTAGAGATGGGGTTTTGCCATGTTGGTCAGGCTAGTGTCGAACTCCTGACCTCCTGATCCACCCGCCTCAGCCTCCCAAAGTGCTGGGATTACTGGCTGAGCCACCACACCCAGCTGCCCAGCTTAATTTAAAAAATTTTGTAGAGGAGGCCGGGCATGGTGGCTCAAGCCTGTAATCCCAGCGCTTTGGGAGGCCGAGGCGGGTGGATCACGAGGTCAAGAGATCGAGACCATCCTGGTCAACATGGTGAAACCCCGTCTCTACTTAAATACAAAAAATCAGCTGGGCATGGTGGCGCGTGTCTGTAGTCCCAGCTACTCAGGAGGCTGAGGCAGGAGAATCGCCTGAACCCAGGAGGCGGAGGTTGCGGTGAGCCGAGATCGCGCCATTGCACTCCAGCCTGGGTAACAAGAGCAAAACTCCATCTCAAAAAAAAAAAAAAAAAAAAAAAAAATTTTTGTAGAGATGGATTCTTACTGTGTCACCCAGGCTGGTCTCAAACTTTTGGCCTCAAGTGATCCTCCCAAAGTACTGAGATTACAGACATGAGCTACTGCTTCCAGCCCAGTTAAAGAGGCTTTTGATGGGAGAAATGTACTCAGAGTGTACTACAGAAAAGGCTTAGACCAATAGGGGAACAGAAAGGGCATTCCTGTGGAGTGAGGAGCTTGAGCTGAGATCCTTGGAGAGGTATTTATGCCATGTATTTGGGAACCATGTATAAGAGCAGTTTGTCTGCAGTGGTGCAGGACATAAACACAGGGCACTTGTGGAAATAAGTTTGGAGGGCTTGGCAGGTTTTAGAAGTTGATTGTGGAGGGCAACTGAGTACCAGGCTAAGATGTTTGGACTCTTCCCTGTTGCACCACAGAGATGTTGAAGGCTTCTGAATGTGTATGTATTGGGGGGTAGGTAGCATATCCAACATGTTTTAGGATATGATTCTAGTTGCTTGTGTAGGAACATTGACAGCAGGGGTGACAAAGACTGGAAGCACAGAGGTGATTATGCCAGGCACAGTGATATGAGCCTATAGTCCCAACTACTTCAGAAGGTAAGGTGGGAGGATTGCTTGGGCACAGGAGTTTGGGGCTATAATGTGCTATGCTGTTCAGGTGTCTGCACTAAGTTCAGCATCAGGCCAGGCACAGTGGTATGCGCCTATAGTTCCAGCACTTTGGGAGGCTGAGGCAGGTGGCTCGCTTGAGCTCAGGAGTTGGAGACCATGGGAAACGTGGCAAAACCCGATCTCTACAAAAAATGAAATAATTAGCTGGATATGGTACTGCATGCCTATAGTCCCAGCTACCTGGGAGACTAAGGCAAGAAGATTGCTTGAGCCCAGGAGTTTGAGGCCACAGTGAGCTATGAACATGCCACTACACTCCAGCCTGGGCAATAGAGTAAGACCCTGTCTCAAAAAAAAAAAAAAAAAAAAAGTTCAACATCAATATGGTGACCTCCCAGGAGCAGGGGATCACTAAGTTGCCTAAGGAGTGGCGAATTGGCCCAGGTAAGAAAAAGAGCAGGTCAAAACTCCCATGCTGATGTGTAGTAGGCTAACACTTGCGACGCCACTATGCTCCACCCTGGGCAACATAGCAAGACCTCATTTCTAAAAAAAACAAGAAGAAGATGATGATTGCAAGGTGAGAAAACAGGTGGATTTGAGATTAAACCAAATCTCTAGTTTCCCCTTATTTCCTAATTGTCAGGCCCTATGTTGTATGTTTCTGCATACATAATCTTATTAAATCCCTACAACAGTTTTGCAGATAGATGTTGTTTTCTGTGCTATGGATAAAGAAATTGAGACCTAGGCCGGGCGCGGTGGCTCAAGCCTGTAATCCCAGCACTTTGGGAGGCCGAGGCGGGTGGATCACGAGGTCAAGAGATCAAGACCATCCTGGTCAACAAGGTGAAACCCCGTCTCTACTAAAACTACCAAAAAAATTAGCTGGGCATGGTGGCGCGTGCCTGTAATCCCAGCTACTCAGGAGGCCGAGGCAGGAGAATTGCCTGAACCCAGGAGGCGGAGGTTGCGGTGAGCCGAGATCGTGCCATTGCACTCCAGTCTGGGTAACAGGAGTGAAACTCCGTCTCAAAAAAAAAAAAAAGAAAAAAGAAATTGAGACCTTAGGAAAGGTAATGTAATTTGTTCAGGATGACACAGTGAATAAACGATAGAGCCCATTTCCTAATCCATATATGTACCACTACAAAACCCAGTCTCTGCCACTACATCAGGGCTTCACAAACTGTCTATGCATCAGAACCTCAGGTGCTGCTTGAGAGCCACTCAATCATAAACTTTAAGGGTGGGCCTAGCAGATGCCCCATATGATTGATAATACACTGAAGTGTGAGAACCACTCAGCCCACCATGCTGTCTCTCTAGTGGTTTTAGCATTCTCATCAATTACCCCAGAGTCCTCCACCCCACACAGAGGTCTTATAGTGGTGACAAGCCTGCTTCTTGGGCTCTGCAAGAGTCTTTGGCCCACAGCAACAGACTGTGACTATAGGCTCCAGACCCCTACTCTTCAAAGTGTAGTTTAGAGTCCGGCCACTCATCCAGGCTTGGAAGCTTGCTTAAAATGCAGGTGCTTAGGCCCTACTGTATGTCACCAGAATCTCCATTTTAACAACATCCTTCAGTGATTTAGAGTCTGAGAATGGCTGCTCTAAAGCATAAGTTTGAAATGTGAGGGAACTATAATAAAGTTATTTCATTAGGCTTCTGCAGTCTGTAAATAAAGAGTAGTGCAAAGCAGACCATGGAAGGAAAAATTTTATTTATTGAATGCCGGCTGCATGTCTGATGTTTTTGGCACTTTATTTCATTTATCCTCGTAAGAACCCTGTGAAGTAGTCATCATCCCCATTCAGCTGATGAGATAACTGACACTCTGAGAAGTTAAGTACTTGCCCAAGATCACACAGCTACTGGGTGCCTAAGCTAGGAATCAAGTGTAAATCTGTCGTGACTTCAAAACCCATATGTGCTCTTTACAGCCTACTACATTGATTCTCAGGCAGCCAGCAGGAAATGAAGGAATTCATTTTCTTCCCTATTGGTGTGTGTTCTTCCATACACCTGTAGGATCCAGTTACCTGGAACAGTGCATAAGAGTTCTGCAATTTGGGAAAGATAAAAATAGAACAGGTTCTGTGCTGGCAGCTCTTCTCTATGGTGTTTTGGTCAGCCTTTCCACTTGAGCAAGCCTGACCTCCAAATTGTTTACACAGGTTAATTTCAACAGCCAATGAGAGAGATTGGCAGAAAGCACTTTCTGGGTATATGGCTACACTGCCAGCCTGGTTTTTCATCGCCAGGTGTCCTGACATTCACTAGTTTTCCAAAGTATAGAGTTTTTAATGCCTTCTCTCTAGATTCCATTTTGCTACGAAGTCATTTCTTTGCTTTAACTGAATCAGTCCATGAATCACAAACCAGCCCTATCTATGTAACTTTTATTGTGTGTACCTAAGCATGCACCTAAGAAAACTCCCAATTATATAAAAATTAGCCAGGCATGTGGCACATGCCTATAATCCCAGCTACTGGGAGACTGAGGCAGGAGAATCACCTGAGCCCAGAGAAGTCATGGCTGCAATGAGCCATGATCATGCCACTGCACTCCAGTCTGGGTAACAGAGTGAGACTCTATCTCAAAAAAAAAAAGCAAGAAAAGAAAAATCCCAGTGAACTGGTTTGTTTGAACAGGGATCTAAACCTACTTAGTTTATAAAACAATTGAAAAGCTAAGATTGAGGTCCTCGAACTGATTATGTTCCTTGTGAATTCTGTATTCTCTTTTCCTACTGCAAAGCCAGTGTTGAGCTGTCTAGGGTCTCTTCCTATTCTAATTCTGCATTCTCAAGTATAGTTCACCAAATATAAGTTCTTTAAGGCCATAGTCTATGCCTTTTATTCATCTGTTTCCCAGGCTCCCAACAGGGTTCTTGGGAAAGGCATTAGTATATGTTTTCTTTCTGTATGAATGAATATAGAATTAGGACAGGGGTTATGCTAACAGCCACTGCCCATTGAACACTTCATATACTGGATTCTATATAATCGTCTCATCAACCAGTGATATAGATACTATTACCATCTCCATTTTACTTAGAGGAAATTTGAAACTTAGAAAGGTGAAGTGACTTCTTAAGTCATATATGTAATAGTGGATCTGGAGTCTGAAAACCAGGCAGTTTAACTCTCAAGCCTATGCTCTTGACTAAAAGGCTACAATGCCTCCTAAAACTAGTATGTAAGTGCTTATTATTTGCCAAGTGCTCTTTGTTTATATCTCATGTAATCCTCACAGCTACCTTCTGAAATGGAGCCTATTTTGCATTCATTTTAAACAGGTAAGGAAGCTGAAAAGTGAAGTGGCCAAGATAATACAGCTACTTAGTAACAAAGAAGGGGGAAAACCCAGTTCTGCCTGGGGGCATCTGCTCCTAGCTGCCTCCCAGACCCAGTAGCTGTGGTACATGCAATTACACATTCATCTCTTTGGCAAATGTTTATTCAGCACATGTTATGTGCCAGGCATTGTACCGAGTGCCTTATATACATATCTAATTTAAACTTCACAGCAACCATGTGAAGTGTTGGTACTATTTTTATTCCCACTTATAATGGGGAAACTGAAACTTAATGTGTCACTAGTGTGTTGAGTGGAAATTGTATATTAGAATGTAATATAAGGACTTTTATCCCTATTACAGGTAAGGAAGTAGGCATTTGCCCAAGTTTACATAGCCAGTAAGTGGCAGGGCCAGGTTTATACCTAGGCAGTCTGACTCTACAGGCTGCAGTGTAACTGTATGTTGGTTTTTGTCTTCCTCTCCATAGGCACCCAAATTGGCTGAAAACTTCTGTGTCTGCCATTTGGCTACTGGGGACATGCTGAGGGCCATGGTGGCTTCTGGCTCAGAGCTGGGAAAAAAGCTGAAGGCAACTATGGATGCTGGGAAACTGGTAAGTTTGGTGGTACCAGTGAGTACTGATATTCCTCAGAATCCAGATCTGCACTGTCCAGTATGGTAGCCACCAGCCACAGGTGGCTATTTAGATTAATTTAAATTTAATTAATGTAAAAATCAGTTCCTCAGTTGCACTACCCATGTTTCAAGTATTTACCAGCCAGTGCAGATACAGAATTTTCCATCATCAAACAAAATTCTGGTGGACAACCATGTGCTAGAGGGTGTTTTAACAAACTGAGAGATTATAGGAATTTTTAGAGTACGAGTTACTTTGTTCTGAATTTATGGCACTTATTTATAGTATTATTGGAGTTTTTCTGTGCTGATGTATTTTGTTGCATACCCAAATTTTAGAGCCAGAAAAGAAACTGCTGTCCTTAGGCCAGAACTCAGAGAGGTATTGTGGCTCTGTGTTCTATTTCTGTAACAAGGCAGTTACTTCCCAGTTGCAACAAAGGTAATCCTTCCTATTTGGGGGCTGTAATTGCATTTTCTCTCTTTTTTTTTTTTTTCCAGAGACCCAGGCTGGAGTACAGTGGTGCAGTCACGGCTCACTACAGCCTCAACCTCCTGGGCTCAAGCGATCCTCCCACTTTGGCCTGATGAGTAGCTGGGACTACAGGAACACACCACCATGCCGTGCTAGTGTGTGTGTGTTGGGGGTGGAGGGTAGAGACGGGGTGTCACTATGTTGCCCATACTGGTTTTGAACTCCTGAGCTCAACCTAGGAGCAGTCCTCCTGCCGCGGCCTCTCAAAGTGCTGGGATTACAGGTGTGAGCTGCCGTGCCCAACCACATTTTTTCTTTCTTTAGGCTAGTTGACCTAATTGGACAAATACAATCAATTATTTTCTGGCAGACCTAATTGGACAAATATAATCAATTATTTTCTGGCACTAATCAAAGAAGATCTCTAGATTAATTATAACTGGGTTATTCTGGAACTTGGCTTCTGTTAATCACGTTCAGAAGTCATTTTGTGGCTGGGTGCGGTGGCTCATGCTTGTAAATCCCAGCACTTTGGGAGGCTGAGGAGGGTGGATCACCTGAGGTCGGGAGTTGGAGACCAGCCTGATCAAAATGGAGAAACCCTGTCTCTACTAAAAATACAAAATTAGCCAGTTGTGGTGGCCCATGCCTGTAATCCCAGCTACTGAGAAGGCTGAGGAAGGAGAATCGCTTAAACCCGGGAGACAGAGGTTGTGGTGAGCTGAAATCACACCATTGCACTCCAGCCTGGGCAACAAGAGTGAAACTTTGTCTCAAAAAAAAAAAAAAAAAAGAGGCCAGGTGCAGTGGCTCACGCCTGTAATCCCAACACTTTGGGAGGCCGAGGTGGGAGGATCACCTGAGGTCAGGAGTTCAAGACCAGCCTGACCACATGGAGAAACCCCCTCTCTACTAAAAAAAATACAAAAAAATTAACTGGGCATGGTGGCACATGCCTGTAATCCCAGCTACTTGGGAGGCTGAGGCAGGAGAATGGCTTGAACCTGGGAGTCGGAGGTTGCAGGGAGCTGAGATCACACCATTGCACTCCAGCCTGGGCAACAAGAGCGAAACTCTGTCTCAAAAAAAAAAAAAAGAAAAAGAAAAGAAATCATTTTGTGCTTGGTCTTGGTGCTTGGTCTTTTGTTCTTTGCTTTTTATCTTAGCATGTTGGTTGGGAAAGGAGCTGGGTTTGCTATCATCCTCAAGTTACTTTCTGTTAGGCTTTGAGATTCTGTAGCTATATCAAGTGGTACCTCTGCCTCCCCACCTGCTTGCCCATTTCTCTAACTTTCCCTTCATGTGATTGAGGCCCTGAGTCAAACCAGAAAGCTAGATATTTTGGACTTTGGGTCTTGGCAGAAGACTCTGTACTAAGAAAAAAATTGAGATGTGGCAATGAGATTGCTTATCTCCAGACTTCACTTAGTTGCAGAGCATGTACTTTGTCCCCATGTTCTCAGTTAGTGCCACGAAATAAGAGGATTAGCTGCCAAGATGGGCAGGCTTCACTACAGGCTAGAGACTTTTCCTTCTATAATGACCCAAGAGAAAAACCAGTTTTAGAAAACTGGGAGAGGTCCTTATTGGGGTTTTAGAGAGACTCAGAGTGTGTTGGCTTGTGACTGGTTGCAGCGGCTCACACCTGTAATCCTAACACTTCAGGAGGCCGAGGCAGGCAGATCACTTGAGGTCAGGAGTTCGAGACCAGCCTGGCCAACATAGTGAAACCCCATCTCTACTAAAAATATAAAAATTGTCTGGGCATGGTTGTGTGCGCCTGTAGTCCCAATTGCTTGGGAAGCTGAGGCATGTGAATCACTTGAACCTGGAAGGTGGAGGTTGCAATGGGGAGATTATGCCACTGTACCCAAGCCTGGGCGACGAACAAGAATGTCTCAAAAAGAAAAAAAAAAGTAAGCCGGGCGCGGT